AGTTTTTTTTTTTTAAACCCAAAGTGGATCTTTTGATTAAATACAAAGAACCCCCAGGGAACAGCGGGGACGGTCTGGGCACCTAGAGGACAGCGCAGCCCCAAACAAGGCTAACACCAACGAAGTTCTGACAACCCAGGAGGAAGGCTAGGGCAAAATGAGTTAGTTGAGGGTGCCCAAAATGGTGCCCCTCAAAGAAATCAACGTTCGTGACTTTGAAATCTAGCTTAGTACTTCAGCATCTTGAACTCTAGGGCTGTGTGTCCTCGCCACAAAGGCTACTGACTCCTGACTACTGACTCTTTTCCGGGAAATCCAGCCTCGAAGGCCCTCTAGGGCAAAAAGATATATCTCTTCTCCGGGCCTGCAGCCGGGAAAAGAGAAGCGTATAGAAACCCGGGTGGCAAGTTACCGTTACCCTTTTGGTTCGGGGATTAAAAAAGACAGACTTGGGCCGAGCTTTTAAAAGTGCAATTGTTACGAAGTCCTCCTCTCTGGCTTGTGGGAACTGACTGGGGATCTCAGAAAATAAAATGTTAGGACTGGAGGCGTTCTTGGAGAACAGAACACAATGTGTTGGAATTGTAAGTGCCATTATAACAGAGACTGTAGAATGTCGGTAGTAAAAGGGAATTTACTGCAATGAACATAAAATGTTAGCCCTAGTTGGGACGGCCCTTAGAACGTAAAACGTCTATCACTGTTAGGAGTAACACGAACTAGAAGGACCCTTAGCCTTTCCTTCCCGAAAATCTTTGTAGTAATTTTGCAGAGGAAGAAACTGAGGCCCAAAGAGGTGAAGAGACTTGCTCAAGGTCACACAGGGAGTTCCCTGGCGAGCGTTTCGAAGAATTCAATTCACAACACGCAAAAGAAAACCCGCCATAAACGTCATCCGCATCCAAGCAGACACAAGAACACATAAACACCACCTCCTTAACCCGGGGCCTGCGACTTTTGCGTACTTTACCCTGCCTGGCATTCCATACATCCGGCCCCTGACGGGGCAACACATCTACGCCCAGCTGACCCTAGGGCCCAAGGGGAAGGGAGGCCCCCAAAGGCCCGGAAACTCACCGGCTCCCTCTTACGCTTGCTCTCGCGGCCGCTGTCCACTTTCTTGAGCTCCGCCTTGAAGCCCTCAGGGTCCCCGGCCTGAGCGTCCTTGGCCAGCACGTCCATGAGGTAAGCGATATAGCTGGTGGCCAGGCGGAGGGTCTTGATCTTGGAGAGCTTGGTGTCAGCGGGCACGTTGGGGATGCACTCGCGAAGTTCTGCGAAGGCGCTATTGATGCTCTCTGTGCGCCGCCTTTCCTTCTTGGGCCCCGCGCCTTTCCGCCTGCCCAAGCGGCCACCCAGCGCCTCCAGCCTGCCAGGGCTCTGCGCTGGCCCCGCGGTCCCGGCCGCATCCGGGCTGTAGGCAGCGGGCGGCGGTCGCCTCCCAGGAAAATCTGGGGCGACGTCTCCGGGGCTCAGCACCCAGCTCTGGAAATAAGGCCGCTCCTGATGACACCGTGAGGCTGGAGCGAAGAGGAAGGGTTCGTGCAGCATGGGATGAGGGTGAGGGGGGTGATGGTGAGGGTGTGGATGGGGGTAGCCGCCCACTAGGTTCATGATGAAGCGGACGCGGCTCTCTGGCCCCCCCAGTGGCCCCGAGTTGAGCCTCGCCTCTGCAGTTGGATCTAACGCCGCGCCATCCGCTACTGCCCCGTCCCGTCGGGGAAGGTGCGGGTGGCTGGGATGAAGCAGAACAGGGCTGGGGAGGGGTAGGCTGGGCGGCTGACTACTGCTCCTGCCTTCGCCGCTTAGCTGCAGAGCTGATTATGGCGCTGGCGCTCTAGGGGACGGTTTTAACCCTTCTCGGGCCTCTTTTCCTGGCCGCAGCTTATATAGGGCCGGGGCTTTGATGTCAACCCTTCCCCTGAGCCAATAGCAGGGGGGCGGATCCAGCAGTGTAGGGGAGAAAGCAGCGCAGCTGCCCCTCCTCCAGGAAAAAGAGGGAGATCTGTGCAGCCAACGCCCACCGGACAGCTGTCCGCCCTCCGGGCCAACTGACCCCACCCAGTTCCCCTGGACCCCCAACGACTTTCGGTGCTCCTGGGTTCAAGCGGAGAAGGATGTGGGTTGGGATAAAGAGATCGATGTGAATGAAGGCTACATCCTTGGTCATTTTCCTTCGCTACACACTCCCCCGTTCCCACTTTACTGAGTGCCAACAACTGCCACGCATTCTTCTGGGCATCATTGTTGGTATTATGGCTAAGTATTTCATCAACTCACCTATCTGCGTTCTAGGATGCAACAGGGTCAGACCCCACAGCCCTCTTTAAGTTGTGGGATGGGGAGGAAGGAATCAGTCCCTCATGAAAAGAAAGGAAAGAAGCCTGCAGAGAAAATCTTTGAACACTCTCCCGCCTCTGGGATCCCAGTCCGATTACACAGTACCCAAATGTCTAGAACAGTGAGCCCAGTAAGCTGGTTCCCACCAGAAGTGGCCTGGCTTTCCCCAGCTCACAGGGGAAGTCCTCTGAGAGAAGGAGAATCTGCCAGAGAGGCTGACCTCTTTTGGTCTTGGGGGCCTTGCCGGGGCAGGCACTAGGTTTCCCCTGACTCCTCCAGGACCCAGCCCTAGGGAGGCAGTAGGAGAATGCAATACGCCTGCACATCTGGGCTACGCTATGGCTGCAGTCACAGCTTAAGAATGCCTGATTCATATAGGAGAGTAAAGCTCTGAGACTCAGAGGAGACACACAAAGACATTGCACACACATTCAGGACCACTCAGCAGGGGACAAACACACACCTAAGCACCCTGGTCTAACAGAGCTCTATACACACTCAAGGCCATGCAGGGATGACATATTAAGGGACACACAAATGCACCCCTCACCCTCTCCCCAAGAAAGACACACCTTTCCCTGAGATACAACACACTTGGGATTCCTACCCTAAAATACACTCACTCAATGACATGCACAGACTCAGAGAAACACCAAGAACATGTCCTCAGAGATACTTGTAGACCCATTCGAAATACACTAGAACCAAGATGAGAACACCCACAGGGGCCTTCACAAAGCTCACTGGAGACCCAGATCTGGATATGATTGATCCTAGAGAGGTAACCCTATTCCGACCTTCATTTCTTTTCAATTGCTTTCATCAATCTGCTTCTATGGTCTCTCAGCAATGCTGTATTCAACCCATTCCTGCCCCACAGGGGAGGGTCTTACACTGGCATTTTGGCACATCCATATTCATCCCTGTTCGCTGCCTTCATGTCCACAGTTATTTTTCCCATTTTTGCCTGCTCCAAAGCTGTTCTCCACAAACCTTCATACACAGACACAGAAGGTTGGAAGAGTATTTGTGAGTGCTCATATAGGAGTATGTTAGAAGGGGAGAGGCAGTGTAGCAGAGCCTTGGTACCAGTATGATCTTAAGCAAATTACTTAGCCTCTCAGTGCCTCATACAACTAAGTGCCGAATAGGTGCTTGATCTCCATGGTAGAGAAAGTTTCTTTACTGGGAATTCTCTATAATAAAGAAATCACAGATCCCTTGGCTATCTCTGTTAAGAGATATCCCTTATGGACCAGCACACCAGCCTGTGATTGCAGTCAACTCTATAAATACAATGGTAAACCTAGTGCTCTCTTCTTTTCTTTCTGGCAACTTTGCTAGGTGTTACATGAAAACTTGAGTTCAATCTGGCCTCAGACACTAGTGTGACCCTGGGCAAGTCTCTTAATATCTTTGCTCAGTTTCTTCAACTATAAAATGGGAAAAAAAATTACAGCACTTAACCTTAAAACATCTGATACATAATAGGCACTATATATATATATGCTTATTTCCTTTCCTTTTCTCTCTTTTTTTATTTCTTCCTTTCTTTTTTCCTTCCTCCTTTCCTCTTAATTCTTCCTTCCCCTTCCTTTCTTCTTTCTTCCTTCTTTTTCTTTCTTCCCTCAATTTCTTTCTTCCTTCCTTCCTTCCTTTCTCTATGGTACACCAGGCTATGGGCAGGCTGGAGTGAATGCACCGTTATGATGAGCTTGGGGGATACAAAATTCATTTGAGACACAATCTCTGCTCTCATAGAATTTACAGGTTGTGAATCTTCCACTGGAGTATTGGAGGATCACTTGGGACCATAGAAGTGAAAATGCTTTAGAAAAATAAGAGGCAAATAAAAGAATCATTAGTGTATTTGAGCTGGTAGGAATCTTGGCTCTTGTCTCTATTGTACTTTAAGGTTAACCAAGCACTTTCCTCAAAACAACCCTGTAAGGCATATGGTGCAAGGGATGGGGGGGTTAGGGGGATGGGGAGAAACAAACCTCCATTTTTAAAGACAAGGAAACTGTGACTCAGAAAATGTAAATATCTTGCCCTAGGTCACAAAACTAGTTAATGGGAGGCCCAGGACTCCCAGTACTCCTCTGATGGGAGCTCTTTCCACTGTCCACAGCAGCCAGCACCATTCCAACTCCTCACTTGAAACAGGCAGAAAAAGCAATCCTCACACAACTCAATTCTTAACCTCAGATATTCACAAGAATACATCTCCTTACAGGACCCTATTACATTGATCTATAACATCCTTGGCTCCACACATTTGCATCCAACATTTTCAGTTACATCCTCACGTAAATACCTCATTGACACACCTTCTGAAATATCATTCTTACTTCCTCACCCGCTTTTCCCATTTGCACACATTCTCAAATGTGTTACAAGTCACTCACATCCTCCATAATTTCAATTACACATATTTTCTTTTAAAATATTTTTCTTGATAACTTGTCATAATATCACTTACATTTTCTATTGTGTCCCTCGCCTTTCTCTCTATCAAAGAGCTACCCTTCATAACAAAGAATTAAAAAGGATAGAAAAAATAGTTCATCAAAATTAATCAACACTAACCAAGTCCTACATTATATAGCCTTCCACATCTACAAAGAAGGAAGAAAAGTGCTTTCTCAGTCTTTTCTTTGGGGCCAAGGTTGGTCTTTTAAATTTCACAGCACTTGGTTTCTATTTCTGTTGACATTATTTTGATTTATGCATTGTTGTAGTGTATATTGTTTCCCCAATTCACTTACTTCATTTTACATTAGTTCATATTTGTTTTCTGTATTTTTTTGTATTTATCATATCAATCATTTTATCATAGTAATACTCAATTACATTCATGTTACATATTTTGTAATTCTTCTCCCCAATCTAAGGGCATCTATTCTATTTCCAGTACTTTGGTTCCAGATTTGCACAGACATTTTTCTTATACATATTTTCATGTAGCATCCTCATAATTAAATTTTTCACACAACTTTCTGTCTCACACATTTTCACATACCACTCCCTTGGTTATACACATTCTCATCCTTCCTCAGACACACACAGACCTTTGGAATCCTTTCCAACTGATTAATGGCACGAGTCTTGGCGCTCGTGAA